TTTTTTTTTTCATTGTCTATGTCTTTATGAGGATATATATGGTAAGATTCAAGGATATCGTGTTATTTATACCATAGCCCCAAACACGTTTACGTACATATGCATGCATGCATGCTTATTTAATTCCCCACAACATACACAAGCAACTACAAGTAAGAGGCATCCTAAGAGATAGGGCTAAGTCTACTATTTTTTATCTTTTTGAGAATTATTATACTATCAAAACTTTCTCAAAAATATAGTCATATAAATTAAATTTTTTTGAAAGATTTGAGTGCATTAAGTGCATCATAAAGGACTAAAGGTTAATTAAAATTGATTTAATGAGCATGACATCTTCAAAATTCTTGATTAAAACTTGAACTTGAATAATTTATAGTAAAGTAAAAAAGATGTACTGAAACATTAAAAATTGGTACTTGAAAGTCTAACTTGACCTAAAAGGTTCGAAGAAGTAATTAACTTAAGGGTTATTGTAGGAATTATGGTACATAAGAAAGCTTATAGTAAGACGGAAAGATGAAATAAATATGAAATTCTCATAAACCCAAGATCATTAACCTAGGTAAGCTAGTAAAAAATTTTCACACAAATGTTTAGGAGTTGGATTTAAAAGGAATATTAGTTGAGATGAAATGTTGGGCTATTAAAGGATGTATTAAATGAATTATTAACCATTGAATGTTACATTTTATTCCATTTAGTTAATATTTTTTAAACTTTAAAAATTAAAAATTTACATTCCAACAAAGTTAAATTACATTTTAATAAAGTGCATGTGAATTACCCGAGGATAAGTAATAATTTAAGCAAGGGGGATATTGCTGGTTAAAATTTTGTTATAGTTTAAATTAACCTATGTTGCTTTAAAATTACATCATTCTATGTTTTTGTGCAAGAAATTTCTTAAAAAAGATTGAGAAATGAAGAAATGAACTAGCATTGTGACACTAGAGTTTAAAGTGCTGTGACATTCAAGGATATATTAAGACCTCCAAAAAAGAGAACAGATCATCACACCATCAAGTGTTTAGCACCATAGTACCATTCAAGTACCACTACACCAAATCACCTCAAAATTACAATGTCATGACTCTGAATAGCCTTAAACGAGTGGCAAAGTAATTAATACAACAACCCTTATGAAATGACACATCAATTCTGTTAGAGCACTACAATAGAGTACTTCATCAATGCCATGACAATAGAGTCAATTATTTATTTTTATTATAAATAGTATGACCAAATTCTTAAGGGGACTAGCCACTTTTGTATTTGTACTTTGTCTTTGGTAGGGTCTTCTAGGGAATGACTATAAGTGCGAGGAAATGAGTGAAGGTCCAGGAGTGTTTGTATCAACTATTGAAAATCCATATAGTTCTATCTACATTTTAATTCTTTTCTTATATTTGTCTTTAATATTTGAAATGAAGTTTGCAATGATCATCTTACTTTGAATGTCTGGCGAAATTCATTTCTATGCTTATGATATGTTAAGAATGCATGCTTACATAGATTATAACTCATTTATTTTTATTACTGTAATTATATTTCTACTTTCATTGATTTTCATTTAATTTATGTATAGACCTTGCATAAAGTTAAAATCTAATGTGATATATGTTCTCAATGGAGATGTAGTGGAATTAAATAAGGGAACTATAAGGGAATTCATCCATGTATAGACATATGTTGGATATAATTTTGGAATTTTAAGGAGATAGTATCACTATAACGAAGGGGATCTTTGCTAGAAACTCTGATAAACTCGACAGAGATGAGGCGTTACATATGCTCTGATTCATAGTATCAAATTAGGAGATTAATCTTTATATATATATATGAATTCTTAATTACCATAAGTTTAGAGTATTTTAATACATGGAACTTTCTCTTTTTCAGTTTCCTACTTAATAAACACACTAAGGAATTTCTTATGATAAGATAAATTTAGCAATCAGTATAATTAGTTCAAAAGGGATTATTTTTTAATCCTCATGGGAATGAAACTCAACTCATCTTATATTACTTAACATGACATATGCACTTGCATGGTAATCATTATAACCTATAAAGGTACAGTGTGTAATGGAATCACCAAATCATCCCTAGGGAGGGATAACATCCTTAGAGTTGCCTCATGATAGTGAGGGTATGGGCTTCTTTGTGTAAGATGTGTGAATAGGTCCATCGCAGTCTCAACCTACACTACTAAAACATTTGCCACCTTCTTGCAAGAACTAAGGTGTTCAACTGTTCTTTAAAGACCAACCACTTGAGCTCCCTTTAGTAGTTTCCCAATAATTAGTAATGAAAAATTATCAAAGGACATACTCAACATGTAGATACTTAGTAGGACTTTCATGATGAATAGTTCCCATCAATTACTAGAAGGTTGCCCATGGTTTTGAAGCCTTTATCTCCTACTTTCTTCGTGGGTGCTTCAGTAGTTTAGTAGAGAAAATGTATATTAAGGCTCCTTATAATGGGATCCTTATTTTCCAATAATTTAATTTTGAAAAACTTGTATGCACACTTATTTAACTTACCTATCTTAAGTCAAGGCTCATGAGATATCACCCCTACCTTGATAGAGTAACCTCCCTTACATTCTCCATTACTGAGCACTATGAAGTGACTACCATCTTTAGTTGTAAATCTAAAGTCACGACTTAGTTATGTAGGTTTATGATGCCACTAGCAAATTGGCTCGGTAGTGGGAGTCACCCCAAACAATGCAGCTATTGTAGCAGATGTCGCCCAAAGGTCGAAAATACTTTTCTTTATAAGAGGGACAGTGATGAGTTTATGAGTCACCATTATTGGCCAAACACTACTATGAACCTCTCTTACCAATAAAATCTCAATCAAACATAACTAGTCCTTGACAAAAGGTGGCTTTCTTTCTCCAAGCAGGAGCAAGTGATTTTTGCAGGATTAATTTTCTTAGAACTCGCAACTCATAATCTCTTAGGTCACGCAACAAAAAGAGAAAAAGCTTTTTCAACACAGATTCTTAATTTATAAAAAGTCATATGGAAGATGGCATCACAATGCTGTCATCAAGGATAAAATGAAAATAAGGCATTAAATTCCACATTAACCTTCCTATTTCATGTTTATAGGCACATTTAATATTTCATTCACTAATTATTTTCGTCATTTGCATACCAAAGGGCCAAGTGAATCAAGGAACTAAATTTTTATTCGTATATGCCTTCCTAGGTACCTAATAGGTTGCTGACATCATATGAAAGGAGCTCGCCCAAAAGGAAGGCCCACGGATAGAGCTCACCTAACATGAAGCCCTACTTTCCTGAAATTCATAGGATAATCATCAAGCGTAATCACCAGGTGCTACTCACCTAAGCCATTGCTTTAGTCACCTGTGCCTTTGTTGAGTTTTCTCGAACACCCGCTCTCTTCCAAAATGATTATGTTCTCCATACTCAGCCACATGAAAGAACCTACTCAAGAGACCCTTAACATATATAGTTGCGACCATCATATTCAATTCTACATCCTCGACATGTTACTCACCTCTCTTTTGGGTGACTCGAGATCCATCATATGAGTTTTCGTCAAAGTTAACATGCACGCCAGTCATTGGTCCCCCCTTTATCAATACTCATCCCATAGAACTCACCCTATACACACTTGACATTATTTAGTGTGCTCGAATATGAATCCTCAGAGCTCTATAGCCCTGATCCTGCTTTAATAACCAATAAAGAGGAGAAACATGTTTAGGATAGTGTTGTATGTGTATTCTACATAGTATTATATTTTTTATTTTTTTATTTATTACCTTTCCCGTAGCTCTCATAACCCCATAAATAAATGATGATAAGAAATAATTTAGGAATATTTTTAACTGTTATGGTAGATACTATATCAATTGTGAGACTCATAATTCTTCAGCATTCCATAAATTTTATTTTATTCTCTCCACTCTCAATTCTCGTTAATCTTAGCTTAGCTAGTTCCCTTGTTAGTAAAGTGAGGTGTCATTTATGGAGAAATTTGAATACAATACATTGATTATTATTTTTATTTTATAGTAAATTTTCCGACTATAACTCTTAAAAATATTTTTTAATATGCTCACCTAACTTTGCACCTAATAGGTCGCCGGTCTAAAAATCCAAATACGCACGCCGACCCATTTGACTGGCCAAGGCTAACTAGACATCCGGCCAACCGGCTACAGCCAGTCAACTATGCCTTCGAACTACGAATAGCGATAGGACTGAGCCGACCTTTCAAGCATAGAACACGAAGAGAGTCGTCTCCGTCTCCACGCTCACCACCTCCTAATCCTATGGCTTCGCCTATAAATACCTTTGCTCTTCCTAAGCTCTTTTTTTTTTTTTTTCCCCCTCTTCTTCAAAGCCTGCGACGCCGCTGCCTAGCCAGATCCCCGGAGCAGTTCGATCCCGCCGGTTGCTTGGCTTTCAAAATATCAGCTGTTGGTCCTTTCTCTATCTTTCTCTCTTTCTCTCTCTCTCTCTGAGTAAGTATTTTCCTCATTATCCTTTCAGTTTCCATCTCAAACTCGATCTTGGTCTTGCTCTCTCCGGCCTTTGCGGCCCCGGGTTTTTTGGTCTTCTATCCCTAATTCTAATTTTAGATCAAAATCTGCAAACTTGATTTCAGCGTGAGCCCAGATTTTTATAACGGTTGTCACACGAATGTTTAGAGAAGCAAGATTTGTAGAGGGGAAAAGCCTTATGATGATGCTGGCGCTGGAATCTCGGTCTCTTTGAATTTCAATATCTAATATCTGTCATTGGATGCAGATCGCCTGAAAGGTGTGCTGAGGGAAGCAATATGGACGGGATCATGGGGATGCGGAAGGTGGCGTCGCACTGTTCGCTGGCAGATGTGGACGATCTTGACCTGGCACGGCTGCTCGATAAGCCAAAGCTGAATATTGAGCGTCAAAGGTCGTTCGACGATAGATCCCTCAGCGAGCTCTCCATCAACATCCGAGCCGTTGATGGCTTTGATAGCATGTACTCCCCCGGCGGAATAAGGTCCGGCTTCGGTACTCCGGCTTCTTCGGCAAGAAACTCTTTCGAGCCACATCCAATGGTGGCTGAGGCCTGGGAGGCCCTTCGGCGCTCGCTGGTGTACTTCCGCGGCCAACCAGTGGGGACAATTGCTGCTGTGGATCATGCTTCTGAAGAGGTTCTGAATTATGATCAGGTATTTAATCTCGAAGAGATTTCCTTGTCGCCTGAGGGAAGGATGAGTTGATAAGAGATCGCTAATTTTAAGTGCAAAACCAAAATATTTTAAACTCAAAATACTTTTGTCTGGTATATCCACATCAAGTTTATGTTTTGTAGCATCCTTTCTTTGTTTTCATGGCCTTCCTTTTGACCTTCCTTTTGACCTTTCTTTTTTTATTTATTTATTTGTCATTTGTTAGGTTGACCAGAAAGAATTTATCGATTTTGTATGATATGGTAAGCGTGATTCAATTTGCAGAGCTGGTTAAATAAACTTGGATTTAATTCAAGTATGATCTAACAAATTATATAAATTGAGATTTAGTAAAATGAGAGTAATAAATTCTGAAAAATTTATGGCATGACAACTTTTAAATTTTCTTAAATGATAATTATCCTGAAGAATTTATTGATTTTGTATGATATGGTATGCGTGATTCAATTTGCAGAGCTGGTTAACTAAACTAGGATTTAATTCAAGTATGATCTAACACATTATATAAATTTAAATTTAGTTAAATGAGAGTAATAAATCCTGAAAATTTTCTGGCATGACAACTTTTAAATTTTCTTAAATGTTAATAAACCTTTTGAACTTTTTAATCAAGATCTTGGATTTAAATAAATATAAGATTTAAATTATCTAAAGTTAGAGATTTAAATCCCTTAAATCCGTAAATTCTGCTCTCCCAGGTTTTAACAAATACCGCTAAATCCCAAATATGGATTGCACTCAAAATGGGATGTAACCAGCTAAAAAAATTTTCAGCAGGGTTTACTTTAAATCATGGTTAAATCCTACTTGAATACTTACCATAGAGTACCTAACTTTGAACTGCTGTTTTTAGTTTATGATTTTATTTGGGTTTTTTCATATTTTACAACTCATCTTGGCGCTATCACCTACGGGAGAATTTTTATATTGCTTAATATCATGCAAAGTCTACTCTATTCTTCAGCTAGCAGTCTGTAGATGATGCTTTCTTTGGCCGTCTATTAGCTGATATTTAAATTTTGTTGTTAAATGTTCTAATAAATTATTTCCAAAAGCTGTCCCTATGTTTGTCTTCATTAGTAAATTACATCAATTATTTGTATTGGTACATCATTCTTCTGCAGGTGTTTGTCCGTGATTTTGTACCAAGTGCCTTAGCTTTTCTAATTAATGGTGAACCAGAGATTGTCAAAAATTTTCTACTTAAAACCCTTCTCCTTCAAGGCTGGGAAAAGCGGGTAGACCGTTTCAAGCTTGGAGAAGGTGTTATGCCAGCAAGCTTCAAGGTACTGCATGATCCACTTAGGAAAGTTGATACAGTTATTGCGGATTTTGGTGAGAGTGCAATTGGAAGAGTTGCACCAGTTGATTCTGGATTTTGGTGGATAATTCTTCTACGTGCTTATACAAAGTCAACTGGTGATTTATCTCTTGCTGAAACTCCTGAATGCCAAAAAGGAATGAGGCTTATATTAGCATTATGCTTGTCGGAGGGATTTGACACATTCCCAACCTTACTCTGTGCAGATGGATGTTCAATGATAGATAGAAGGATGGTAAGATGTGTAAATCTATATTATTCTCTTGGAATTACTTTATGTTTGATTGAACATTTCTTATATATATATATATATATATATATGAATTTCTTTTGAAAATGTGCTATAATAGATTTTCATTGGAGCTATAGAAATGTTGAGAAGATGAAGGAATTTATTGACTTATGAAATTTATTAATATTATTTTGAAGAATGAGTGTGTTGGTTCCCTTTTTTAGATAAAGGTGAAGCAGAAGAGGGTGCAAATTATAGAAGAATTAAGTTAGTGTGTCATGCATTAAAACTATGGGTGAGAGTAATTGAGCCTAGGTTATGACGTGATGCTAATATTTTTCAAAATCAATTTGGATTTACCCCGGGTAGGTCTACTTTGGAAGCTATACATTTATTAAGAGGTTTGATGGAGAAGTATAGGGAGAATAAGGAGGATCTTTATATGTTATTTATTGATTTTGAAAAAACATATGATAAAATTCCAAGAGAAGTGCTCTAGAGAGTTGTCAAAAAGAAAAGAGTTAATAATGCTTATATTTAAGTCATTAAGGATATGTATGCTAGAGCTATTGCTTGTGTTCAAACACAAGGTGGTTTGACCAAGTCTTTTCTTATTTCAGTTGGATTATATTAAGGATCAGCTCTAAACCCTTATCATTTTTCTTTACTCATGGATGTTCTTGCTAGACATTTGCAAGAGGTTGTGCCTGGGTGTATGCTTTTTCTTAATGGTATTCTTTTGGTTGATAAGAATAGAGAGGAAGTTGAGAAAAACTTTAATTATGGAGGTCAATCTTAGAGTCCAAAGGTTTTTGCTTGAGTTGATCTAAAACCGAATATATGGATTATAATTTTAGTAGTAATAGATCTAGTAGGAGGATTGTGATTATGGGCAATAAAGTCATTAAAAAGAGTACATGTTTTAGATATCTCAGGTCCATGTTCAAAGTGATGGTGAAATGGATGGGGATGTTATTGGTAAAATTCAAGTTTGTTGGTTGAAAAAAAGGAATACATCGAGCTTGTTGAGTGATGGAAAAGTACCTATCAAACTTAAGAAAAAATTCTTTAGGATGGTTCTGTGACCTGTAATGCTTTATGGCATAAAATTTTGGCCATTAAACGATAAGTATATTAAGTTAAGTGTTGTAGAAAGGAGGATGCTCAGGTGGATGAGTGGCTTTACTCTTAGAGACAGAATATGAAATGGGTTAATATGTGAAAGGTTGGAGGAGTTCCAGTGGTAGATAAGATTAGAGAGACTCGCCTTAGATGTTTTGGTCACATAAAACGTCGGCTTTTTGATGACCCAGTTAGGAGAGTAGGAGAGTAGATGCATTTGATTTGACATTCTATCCTATATTAAGAAAGGTAGCGGTAGACCTAAAATACTTGATTTGAATGTATTATAAATGGCCTTTTTTATTAGATTTGAATATAATTTGACTCTTAACAGGATATAATGGACAAAAAGGATTCATGTTGCGGACCCCATGTAGTGGGATCAAGGTTTAAAATTGCGCAATTGGTATTGAGGCGTTTTCCATCCATGAGGTGAGGTGTAAGCTTCAAAATAAAAAATTTACGCAGAGTCAAAATGAAGATTTTTTGCAAAATAATCAAATAATATATTAAATAAATTGTCATATATATCAAACACAAAAATGCACAAGACATAAAGTTGCAAATAATAAATTTTATGAAATAGAATTGAAATTCATACATTATAATAATAAAATAACATAAATGTAGTTCAACTCAAAATTATATCTTTCCCAATTTCTTGCTCATTGACATTTAATTAAAAAAAGAAATAGTAATAGCATAACTCAGAAGTCATCAATGCTGTCATCACTAAGGGGATTTTTATTTGAACCATCATCATAATGTACTCTTTCCCCTGTCTCATCACTTGTGGAGTCTAATGCCTCTTAGTATACTTATTCTTCCTCTATATCAATTATTTTTCTCTTTTCTAAATATTTTTCATCAATATAAAGATATATAATACTTCAAAGTAAATAAACTTTGACAAAATAATTTTTTATATACTTTTTCTAATTTGTTCTTTTTGTGCTTGAGTTGTGGTAAATGTAGATGCTTTATTTATATCACCATAAAAAAATCATCATTCAAATCTTTCTTGCACAATTTAGATAGTTTCACTTTATCATCAACAAACTACTTATCATCTGATGTCATATCTTGATAAATCATAGGATCTTTGTCATTCTTCAACCCTTTCTTCTTCAAGTTTTTGTATTTAAGTCTCTTATTGTACATGATATACACTAAGGAATTCATCCTTAAGTTTGTCTGACGATTTATCCTCTTTCTATGCACTTAGTTGTACGTGTTCCAGTTGTGCTCCCGTTCAGATAAAGAGCATGTTAATCCCAAAACCTTCATTATGAAATGATATAATTTTGGAGTGTTATCATCAAATTGAATCCTCCACTTAATTAAGATTTACATAAATGAGTATAGTAATACTAAGTAGAATAAGATTTATATAAATGAGTACATAATAACATTAATGCAACAAATAAATGCATTTGGAGTTTGCTTGGAAATAATGTCCTTTGCTTGTTGCAATAAAAAAATCCTCTTTATTTTAAAATGGTATGAATTGTATATTAACATTTGATCTTTCAGTTGAATTGACTATTTTTCTATCCATGCAATGGAATAATCATAATTTTATCTCAGGATTTATTTACATGATATTGAGGGTTCAGATAATAGCCTGTTGTAAGTGTCGATGAAGCTGTAGCTCTCACCTGCCATCAATGATATTACAAATTTTTCTGTAACTGATATCTTCTCCTTCTAAGTTGTGGGCATTACCTCTTTTGCTTAATCCATAGCATTGTATATAAAGTTTATTGTAGGCTTTTTCTCGGCATCCATCATTGTCAAAACTTGTACGACTGACGTAGTGGTTGTGATAGCATATATGATACTATCAAACAACATTTAAAATTGCGCAATAAAAGGCGCGCCTTGAGGCGCGACTCAGCGCAATTTCGTCCATTTAAGCCTCAAAGCCTACGCAATAAGTTTAGTTTATGAGGCTTACGCCTTGAGGCGCGACTCCTCGCCTCATATATTTAAGGCGTCACCTTTTTAAAAATTAACCTAATTTTTTTTTTCAATTCGGACCCCCAGTTGTCGACGTGGCGTGCCTAGTGAAATGTCGACGTGGCATCAACATTTAAACCCTTGTAAAGGTCGAATGGCGGAGTGGGCGTTTCGATTTTCAAGTTACAGTAAACTTTCGAACTTTCAAGCATTCACTCCGGAGCAATATCAAGCATTCTTCACTCAGTTTCTTCTAAGATGTCGTCACCCAAAAAAAAAGGTAACTTAATGCTATGTTTTTTGTTTCGTAATGCGTATTTTATGGTTATGCTATGCGTTGGTGTTCAAGGCTCTGAAGATCTTCCGATTTTATGCTTATTCTATGCGTATGTATGGCTTCTCGAAACTTTTTAAATGTTTGATACTGTGATGCCACCGTGTTTTCTCTGTATTCAGGATTTATGATAAATTTATGTTGAAATTTGAAACATAAAACCTATCTAAAATTTAAACACCGAGTAAATATGCGTAGGCTGTGCGTACGCAATGCGTCTTTTGTGCGTATTATATGCGTATATGTTGCGTTCTCAATGCTTATATTGTGCGTACTTTATGCGTGCATATAATTTGCTGCCATGTTTCATGCACTGTGCGTTCTTGTGCATGTGATGTGCGTACTGTATGCGTATTTTATGCGTACACTGTGCGTGACCGTTGCTTACATTCTGCGTATGTTGTGAGTTTTTTGTGCGTATCTAATTTACTTATTTTTAATTTATCATTTTTTACAATTTTCAGATATATGTTCGTCCAATTACCTATAGATGCTATGTTTCTTCGTTTCGAACAATCTGTGATAACTTTGCTCAGCAAATTACTCTTAAAGTCAAGGACACATTGAAACATTTAAAGATGATACAGTTTTTGGAATTTCCTGGGTTTGAGCAAAATGTCCCTCTTATTTATGAGCTGATCTCAAGGTGGGACATTTCAAAACAATGCTTTGTTATAAAAGGACAACTCATTCCTTTCACTGCTGATGAAGTGGCCCTTCTTACTGGTCTGCCAAATAAAGGAGAAGAAATATCCTGGCATTCCTTAGCACATACTTCAATTACATCAACGGAAATAAGGAATGACATGATGGAGTTGAACAAGCAAACCCCCCCGGAGACTATGTTAAGAACGTTTATCATGTATTTATGTTCAAATTTACTTTTTCAACTTAACAACTTCAAAACCCCTCGGTTGATTCAAAGAATAACAAATAATCCAGATATTTTTTTGTCAATAAATTGGGCTAGTTCAATTAGGGAGTTTTTAGTTGGAGAATTTAATAAGGCATTATCCAAGATTTCAAATAAGAAGCCAGCAAGTTACATCAACGGTTTTGTACCTCTGCTAATTGTGAGTGCTAAGTGCTAACTCGTTTGCTTCCTAAAATTTCTCTCAATCAGGATGGTCAAAAATAAGGATAAGGCTGCATCAGGTCATAGAAAAGATCCAGCATGGAAATATAGCACTCAGGTGGATGTAGGAGGAAGTGATAAAACATATGTCTATCTGAAATGCAATTACTGTGATAAAGTTGTGAAAGGTGGTGTGACTAGGATGAAGGAACACCTTTCAGGCTCTCACAAGAATGTTGCTCCATGCTCCAAAGTTCCTGATGCTGTAAGGGAAGAGATAAAGTCATACATGAATAAGTCTATCACATCAAAACATCTTGCACAGAAGCAATTTGAGGATAGAGTTGATGCTGGATCTTACTACGGGAGTGAGCGCAGCGTCAGGGATTCATCTTCTTCTATGAAGCCCATTTCATCTAGGGGTGCTAGAGGGCCTATGGATCATTATATGGTTGACACATCAGAGGATAGGCCTTCTACTACACAGAAGATGGCCCCAGAAAATGCAAGAGA